GTAGTAGAATTATAGTGTACGATCGACTTCGTCGGAAGTCATGCTGTTCCGGTGCGAGGTACTTAACTGCTTCCAAGTAGACTGTTAGCGCATCAGAAATACTAGCTTCCAGGATCTTGGAAAGTACCGGTAGTAAGATTACGGGACGGTAGTTGGCTGAATTAAAACGACTACCTCTGCTGTGAATAGGAGTAATCATCCCGTGTTTTCACATGTCGGGTACGTACATGTCAGCAAAACAGTGTTGGAAGACTCGAACCAAGGGCTCGGCTAATCTCCCGCCTACCGCCGCTAGCGAGTTCGGGTGATTGTTGTCGACTTCAGGAGAGCTGTGCTTAGGCATTTTCAACAGTTTTTTAGTATGGCTTTTGTCGTGAAAAATATGTGCGTGAGTTTTGAGAGTGCGACAACTGCATATAGTTAAGTAGCCACTGATTGCACTGAAATGTTGCAGCATATTGCAAGTGCAGAGTGTTCGCCGCATCTTTCATGGACCGTGTGCGTCTGTCCGCTGTTTGAAGAGGAGGAGTTCCCCGTTTCACCTTACATAAACTGTTTACGTGTTGATGCAGAAGCATGTGCTTTGAGGCCATACGCATTGCTAACTTCTGCAGATATACACTTTATCCTCGCTAACAAGGAGTACAGTGCTTACGGTGGGTCGCATAAACCATCCAGGTCTCGGTGCTCTGAGAGAGCTTATGCCAAGCTGAGCTTCTCACCGATATACACTTGCTTATCCTGCTTCGCGGAGACGAGACCATGTTTCTCGAGTGGACAGCTTTAGTCGCTGATGTTTCGGTAACCAGAGGGTTAAACTGATTGACGAAATGTTCCCATGCACTAGCTGGTGCCTCGTCTGTCAGAAAGGTCCAGTTGGTTGTCTCACCTAGTCGAGCTAATGTGTCGTAGCGTACAATCGTTCTCGTTGCATCGGCACTTTCCACGGAATATTCTGCACAACAGATTTATTCAAAGAGTAAGACGACATGATCGCTGTGGCCTAATAGGACGTCGACGAGTACCCTCTCGATCACCAATTCTTCGTTGGGGAATATCCGATCCAGCATAGACGGCCTATCTGTTTCTCTGAAGCTGGTGGGAGTGTTGATGTGACCACACAGCGGGAAACTGGAGACAACCTCTTGTAGATTCGCCTTGAACTGTTCTCTAGGAGCAGCTTGGGCTTCCAGAGCCTGGATGTTGAAATCGCCAGTAATAATAGCGTGACTGTTTCAGAACACTCGGTAGACGACCGGTTAATATATTTATGGTAATACCATAAATATATTAACCGCTTCCCGACTTCCCGCTCGGTTCCAATTATGTTTCAACATAGCGTGACTGTGCTTCTTTTTATTACCCGTCCTGGAATGGATGCCAGATAGAAGTTCAACTAAGGCGTTGAGGAGGGCGGACGGTTAAGGATCGCCACCAAGTAGGCTTCATCGCATTTTACACGTAGACGGCACCGAAGGAAATCCTGTACCATGTTGACCGGATTCGCTATAGGCTCACATTGGAGGTAACTGCGGAACTATAGATCCACCCCTCCACCTCTGCTGCATCGGCCATGCCTAACAATCGACCTGCCTGGGAGTGCGACTTCGATGTCACTTATGTTGGGCGTAACCATGTTTCCGTTGTAGCGATAAAGTCACAGGCCTTTGACACTTGATGAAGTCGCAGTTCGGAAACTTTGCTAAATAGACCTTGGGCATTGATGTGTACACGGGATAGCTTCTTAGATGTCAGAAGGTCTTGACGAGGAGCGTATGAAGGAAATAAATGTGTGCCGATCGATGGGAGGCCCTCACTTAATCGATTTTTTGGGTGAATTGCCAAATTCCAATAGGAATGCAATCTGTTTTTGGTCCCACGTGCACACGCGGTATGTAGTTCCTCGGTAGCTTTCTCGATAGAAACTGGTCTGAGCGCAGTTTTCTGGATCGCTGTTGTGGTTTTATTGAGTCGTGGGTAGTGTCGTTTTCGTGAGAGCAGCGACTGGCTGCGGCTGTCTAGATAGTGTCTTCAGTCGTAGTTCCGAAGGAAGCTTATTGCGTAGCAACTGCCACCTACGGATTAAGCTCACGGTCATCTATTTTGTCTGCACCGTTAGTTTCCGTATCCTCGGGCCACTGCCTCCGTAGTTTGGCGACACGGGTAACCGTGTAATCGACTAAAGTATGACGTCGCCTTCACAGAGAGCTTCACGGATGTAACACCATTCTTCCAGGTCATGAGCGGGGATTTCTTCGTCGTTAGATGCCGGTGGCTCTGGCACGTCATAAACGAAAATGATTCTTCTGCCACTCTCCGTGTGGTAGCCGTTTAAAATTAATGTTGTCTCACTGACGTTCAGTTCACGAGGCTTCCGGAAATATACTTATCCCATTGTCTTCAGTCCGCAGGCGATATGCCGACATACGCACCATCTCGACACCATCTGTAGATTGCGCACTACTGACGAGTCCCAACTGCGCAACATAACTCTCTTATTCTTTCCCGCATATGTAGTGGCTGTTTGGCCAAGTATATGGGCTCTGTACTACTTTTGAAATTATCCCAAATTCCTCAGCAAATACAATAGCTCGTTTTTAATGCTATCGGACGATGGTGTCTCATCAAATAAAGTAGTGTCCCTTGGGACCGGTCCTGTCCCCAACACATCGAAACTGCGCATGATAGTGAAGGCTGATTCGCAACTTCAAATTCCTCCAATGTTTCTTGAAACTTCATTGTTGGTATTGTTATTATTATTACGGAACTGATGGCGGCATCACTCTTTGATGCATGGATAGCAGTTAATTACCAGAGGTGAACCAAACTGCTCAACGCTGTTTCTAGCGCTTCAGTTTTCTACGCTACTTTTCGTATTTCCGTTCTCTGCTGCCCTTTAGTAATGCAAACTGTTATTCTTCCTCTTATACGAGGCACTAAACTGCACTTGAGTTTGCTCGGCACTTGAGTGTCTTTTATCCGGCCAGGTCGTTTTAAGCTGGCGAGGGAAATTCGTTGGAGTATCTCTCGCTGTTATATCCGGTCATTAGATCAAGTATATATGAGCTACTTGTCTGATTTGGCTTCGAACTTTTAACAACAGCTAGCTATATCACGAAAGTCCAAATAGAAGTTCCAAAGGCCAAACGTTTGAGTTACGCTGCGCACTGTTAAAACCAAGACAGTTGGACAAGAAGAGAATTGTAAAACAAAGTTACGATGAAGGTCTTATGATTGTGTGAAAGTGAACACGACTTGAGCAGCGATCATGCAGTGCGATGTACAGCCGTGCTGTTCACTGTGTGTCGGGTGAAGCTTCATACGCAAGAGAAGCAAAGGGGATTGCTTGATACTTCAAGCGGAGTTGGCAGTACGTCAGTATCACCCCCTAAAATCGATTGTCGCCGCGAAAAGGTTGCATCCAGGTAATCGCGTGAATGTCTGTGCTTAGTTGCGATCCGGCATACAACTAGGCGTTACCATTTTAGGGTGACGCGATAGCAGAACGGACCACCCGAAGACTTCCCTTAGCAACAGAGAGAACGTATTTTATCACTAATCTACACGTAAGCTTCACCTTAACCCCGATTGTGCGTAACAAAAGTCAGAATACCTCGGTCGCAGACCTCCTTCTGTGTGTACGATTTCTCTTGCTCGTGTCAAGCAAGGTATATTGGGAAAACGACTAGGTGACTGTCCGTTAGGGTCCGAGAGCATCACCCAGCTTGGCTCTACAGCGGCGCGAGGAAGAATGTAACGAGTGCAGCATTGACGCACCTAGTAGACTCCGACCATCAAATCGACTCGCATGACGCATCCACCCCGATCTACTGTGTCCCCGGACGTTACACACGGGCAGTCAGACGTCGCCTGTTGTGGACAGCAGAGCCCATCGCAATTCGGCTCTATAACCAGGACCTATGCGCACAGAAACAACTAGGCGGTCCTTTCACGCATTGGCCAGTGAACTCCCTTGTTACCTGGTTAAACTATGCTTAATTATTTCGCTGTTTGCATCAACCTGGCACTGAGATCTAGTTGTGAAACTGAATAACTCTGACATCAACTTTCGGGTTTGAACGATCAGCTCCCTATTATCTCACAGTTTTAGGCTGAGTGACTGCAAACTCTTCAGAAAGCACCACACAAAGGTGATTGATACAGATTTCCCTAAAATCCCACAATCCCGTTAACGTAACACGTTCGCCGTACATTGGCTTTGGTATCCTTCGACCATTAGTGTTCCACGCCACAGCACGCCACAGCCGTAGTTTAGAATTCAGCGACCAAATACATGTACGTTAGCCGTCGCGCATCGCGAATACTTGCTGAACATCGTCCACATTTCCTCAATCGGCCAAAATTGAACCGATAGCACGACGTTCTGAAACGAAATTTTCCATTGACCACTTATTGATAACTATGATACCAACAGGTTGTTTCCAAACCTCTTTGAACTTATTGATGAAGATTGATGAACTCAAATGCCACGTGCTTCATGGATAAGGAGACATGGGACGATCCGAACCATGTGTGCAGCAACCCCCCTACGATTCTGTCGCCACAAAGACGAGAGGTTATCATTTGAAATTGTTTGGACGTTGTAGCCACCGGTAGGGTCGCGGATGCCATTTTCCCCTTCGGGTCTCCTAACTATAGGGCGAACTTCTAAAGCAAATCGTTTCCGGTTCCACAGTTCCTTTCATTAAGAAAGCATTTCGTTGCATGAAGTGTGTCCTGTTTTGCACTATCTATTTATAAACCAAATGGACTGTCAAGGTGTATCATCAAACAAACAGTTTCATGGGAGTGAACAATAACTACTGACTTCCCCATAAATCCCTGACCAGAACATTCTGAGGTCCTTCTTAATCAGCATTAGTATTCCATGATCTCATTACTCCGTAGCCGAATTGTCTCTCACATTAGCATAGAACTCTTTTATCTCTCTTTCGAATCTGTGTTGTCTGCGTATCAGTAAACTGTCGAACATTTTTTAGCGTCTGCAACGATTGTCCCTGGTATCGCAAACCACCGAACCTCATCGGTCCATTCATCTCCAGAACGCGACTCGGCCACTAGCAGAAAACGGAACTCCTGCTGTTTCCGCCGTGAATGCAACCAAATCAACATTACCCACCATCGTCAGATCTTGTTGGACAAATTCCGTCTTCCCATTGTTGTTTCGAATGAACGAACAAGCGCCCGCTGTTAACCCGGAAGAACCGTCGGCGCGACATGTCGCAGACGGTAGGTTTCAGTTAGACATTGAAACAGTGATGGCTTTAGAACATAAACGAGCTAGAATCACTTAGATCTCACAGCTAACGTTAATTCATGCGTAGCGAAACCCATTGTAGGATCATTTTCCAGTCAATTGTTTTTCCTGTTTAACCTGTAAGAGTTGTGGTAAATAATTCGAGATACATAGACATCAACAATCAATTCTTACTGACTCTCGTAGAATTTGCTCCCACCGGATTCATCAATGAATATATCCGTTCAGACACGTTTACGGGCGTGCTGCAAAACACCAGACGACAGATCCGCTATGTGGAGACTTATCCACATCTCTGGACGGTGAGAAATTAAAATCGCTATGGGATTTTATTTGGTGGTTGTGATTTTGGACTAAGATGAGTCATCCAGCAGTGGATGTGGAGAAGTAAGGCGTTGACCGCCGATGTAATGTTTGCTGGCTTTCGGGTCCATCACTAGCGTGGACTTAATCAATATGGGGTGATTCCGAACCAGGTGAGTGCAAGAGATGACCTAGCGGAAACCACTCCATCGTCATGAATCTTTTCCAAGGAGGATATTGCTTCAAGGACAGCCGAGTTAGTAGACAAGGAAAATTCACGCGTGCACAATCATGTCAATCGGAAGTCTTTCACTCTAAAGTCGCGCATCACCGGATAACTAGTTCTCAGTCAAACGCAACTGATAGCTGTGTCATAACGGCACCGAATGCGCCCGGCCTACCAGCACCGTAACAGATCCCTTTACTGTGTGAGATTGACACTTGGTTGACCATTTGGCCGGTTCATTGACGCTCAGTCGGCCAAGCAAGTAAGTCACCTCCTCAGGATGTTCCTCGGATGTTCTGAACAGACTGCCACACGGATGGATGGCAGCCCATCTGCGGTGACATTCATCGAAAACGCATTGAGCAGCTCACGGCCAATTCACCCCTCAGCAAGTCTGGAGGTCAATGGCCGGATTATTTCTTTGACGCTCGATCCTGCTGAATCTGTCATTGGTTTTGAGAATGTGAAGGACACAAACTTACATGGCATTCATGTAGAACAAAATAACAATAGTGTATTACGGAGGAAAAAGCTCAGGCATAAGAAGACCCGTGGGTTGGTCGAGGTGGGAACAGCACGGTCTGAAATAAACATTTCATGCAAAATAAACTGTGCATCTGCGATTTCATTATAGTACTCATAACAAAACACAAACGCTAATCCGTCTATTCCGATTTCATGAGGAGCTGGCCAGCACAGTGTTTAGTTGCGTTGTGATGTCCCCCGATAAACGCGGGGAGCAAATCACCTAATGCAGACGGCTTAAGGATTTGTCAGATTGAATTCTAGCTAGGGGTAACATGGGTGAAGAAATGATACAAGCCAGACATCGTTCCACGGGTGATGAATTCAGAAAGAAACCAATTCAAACGGTATGCCGGTGGTTAGTCAGGTCGAAGTTGTGGTTAAGCTTCTGGAGTTGGTCGCAAACGTGACTGGGGTTCTGCATGGCTTGGTACATCAATATCGGGTCACGCCGCAGTTTCTGCTATACACCCCTAGGACTTACAGTTGAAGTTGGTGTAGGAGATTTAACAAGCTCATAAAATTTTTAGCTAATCTTCGCTGTTGGGTATGGAAGGCTGGGAGGTCACACTTCTGCCCGGACTACCAAGCCTGAATGACGTGCCCCACACTGGGTCTCACGTACGCTTTGGGCATTTGCCGAGAGGATGAAAAAGTCAAACCGTTCGGACGCCGTTCGCAAGTCACCGACGTGCTGATTCCCGAGTTTTAACACCATGGATTGGTTGGAGCAGCCAGGGTCATATTGGACCGCTACCCCCAGGTCATGCCCCTCTGAGACAGTCTGTGAGATGTGGTTTTTACGCATACCTATTCTATTTGGATGAGAACATACAACAACCACTCTGCCTTTAAATACAGTAAACGTTAGTATATTCGCCTTTGACCATTTAGCGGCCCTGTCCAAATTTTCCTGACCACCGACTTCCTCCCATTTCTTGATATCATCTGCGAAAAGCAAGAAATTCAAAGCGATGACACGCTCGAGGTAGTTAATGAAGACCAACAATAAACAGTACCCAAGCACGGAGCACTGTGGAAGTCCAGCTTAGTTGGACCAGACAGCGAGCCGCGGACCCACACCTTCAACCACCTCTGAATAACAAAGTTGCCAGTCCAACCACGGGTAATGTGATGATAGTATCAGATCAGAGTGAGCAGATAGACCAACCGAAAGAGCCAGAAGGCCGATGGGAGAAGGGACGTGACGGATTCGGTTACTTGACTCGGAGTGGCCGACATTCATTTGAGTGATTCACCGTTTGTTTAACTGAAACAAAGGAGGAACCTCATCAACTCAGAAGTGTCGTTAGTTATGGACCTGAACCTGCAAGTTATATCGAGGAGTTTGGGTTGCTAGACATGCTGTAATTTTCGCTTAGCTGTCTTTGCCGAATAAACGCTTGTCCGTGAAGGACTGTTCTACAACATGGTGTCAGAGCAGACAAAAAGGAACCCCACCGACGGCGCGCGGATGCTGTTTGGATTACCAGCGTCTATTCAGATGCCTGCCCCACTGAACATGGATGAACGGAACTTGGCGAGTAATTGGCGTTTATAGAAGAGCAAGTGGGAGGATTTCTGCACCTTAGTATCTTTGAACGAACAACCAATGGCGTATCGCTTGGCCATATTTCGACACGCAGCCGGGGATGACGCGCGCCGTGTTCTAGAGACATTGCACTATGACAAAGGCGAAGATTCCACTAAGTTGGAGACTGTCATTGGAAAGTTTAGTGAATTTTGTGATGTCAATCCAACGAGACATACCAGCGCTATCTATTCTTTTCGCGTAATACAGCCTCAAACGAATTCGTCGACGCATACTTCACTGAATTGAAGATTTTGACCCGATCCTGTAATTTCTGTAAATGCATGGGCCACAGTCTCATACGCGATCGGATGGTTCTAGGAATCAATGATGAAAGTACGACAAAGCGGATTTTACGACAACTCAACTTATGGCTCCAGTAGTGCATTGATCTCTGCAACATTGAGTCCTCGACCAACTATCAGTACCAACAAATGAAGCTCGCAACAGATGCAGAATTGTGTGCCGTTTCCGGAGGCGAAGTAGCGACGGCTACTAACGAGAGACAGGGGATCTGCAAATTTTACGCCCCGCGATATCCGAACACCCGCGAACAGTGTCCGACATGGGGATAGAAATGCGCCAAATGTCGAAAAAGGAACCGCTTTGCCCATTGCTGCCAATCAACCAATGTGAGTGCGGTCGTTCATGACCAGTCCCCCGCAGATGCAGATCGTTCAATTGGCAAATTGTCTCGGAGGGTACCGCAAAAATGTGTCTACGCAAGTCTTTTGATCGAAGAGAAAGCCTACGATTCCAGTTAGACACAGGTGCTACTGTCAACACCTTACCAAGGAAGCACTGTCCCGGAGTGTATATTCGATCCGATCAAGCTTGCCTGCGTAGATGGAATGGTTCCAGACCTCATCCGTAGGGCTCAGCTACAATCGAAGTGGTTAACCCAAGAGACGGAGCCTCACATCGACTGGAGTTTGTGATCATGGATGAGGAGCTCACTTCGATTCTCGGTATTGATTCGATCCAATCTCTCGGTTTGTTGTTTTCAGCATTATCTTTTTGTGCATGTTTGCCAGGGAGAAACCGATATTACTGACCAGTATTCGTATGTGTTTAGCCCAGGTTTGGGAAAGTTTGCGGGAACCGCTCACTTGTCCTTAGCACCTTTGATACGACCGACAGTGCTACCGGCTAGGAGAGTTCCATTTGCACTGCGTGACAGGTTCCGCGCTGAATTGAGCAAATTAGTGAGTGAGGGTGGAATTGCCAAAGTAGATGAGCCAACCGACTGGGTTAGTCAGGTCGCAATCATTACTAAGGAGACGAGCGAACTACGTGTGTGTATTGACCCAAAACTGTTGAATGAGGCCTTGCGTAGAGAGCATTCCGCGCTACCTACCCTAGTAGGCATTTTGCCGCGTTTGGCCAAAGCTGCGTTTCACAAAGGTAGACCTCTCTGCCGTTCACACGAAATCCGGCAGACGAGGGAACCAATGATGCTGCATGATGTCCCTGACCGACCGTGGCAGAAGGTGGCAGTGGATTTATTCAGTGATAACGGAAAAGATTACTTACGGTGGGCTACTATAGTGATTATTTTGAAGTCGATCTACTCACCACTATGACCACAGAGGCAGTAATCAACAAGCTCAGATGTCAGTTCGCGTGGTACGGTATACCGGAGGAGCTGGTCTCCGATAATGGGCCCCAGTTTACCAGCAGTACGTTCCAGGCGTTCGCAACCAAGTGGGAATCCGTACACCAGCAAACCAGCCCATATCACAGTTAATCGAATGGAAGGGCAGAGTCGGCATTGAATCAGGCCAAACAACTTTTATCAAAGGCTAGAGCAACTGGTGAGGACCTGTACCTCATGCTACTGGAGAATCGCAACACTCCTGCAACGAATATCGGTTTGAGCCCAGTGCGGCGCCTATACAGCCGAAGGACTAGAACTCTGACATGGGCACCTGCCACACTTTGCGCCCAGTTTCCCCACAGCACGAACGATTACAGAACAATCTGAGACGACGAATGATCACTCAGAAACGGTACTATGACCGCGGTGCACGAGTACTACCCGAGCTAACAGTGGGGGAGGAAGTGTGGGTACAACCATCACCCGATGGTCAAGAGCGGTGGAAGAAAGGTGTGGTGACTGCGAAGGTCGGTGCCAGGTCATACGAACTAAACGTTGGAGAGAAATTGTTCAGAAGAAACCGAGTGCATTTAAGACGACACAGGATACAACAATGTGGATTGGGAGTGGAGTGGCAGGTGGCGAAATTCAAGGAGCCCACTGCCACTGATACAGCGAAGACAACGCGGAGCGGCAAGTTGTATGAGGTGCATAGCAATATGGGGCGCAAAAACACGAAAAATGGGAGGATATGATGGTAGTATCAGGTCAGAGTGAGCAGATGGACCAACCGAGCGAGCCAGACAGCCAATGAGAAGCGGACGTGACGGATTTGATTTCTGGACTCGGATTGGACGATATTCGTGTGAGTGCTTCACCGTTGGTTTAACTGAAGCAAAGGAGGTTCCTCATCGACTTAGAAGTGTCGTTAGTTATGGACCTGAACCTGCAATTTATATCGAGGAGTTTGGGTTGCTAGACATGCTGTAATTTTCGCTTAGCTGTCTTTGCCGAATAAACGCTTGTCCGTGAAGGACTGAGTTCTGCAACAGGTAGGATTGCAAATTCCATGGCTTTCCAGTTTGTGAAGTGAGATGCGATGATCTGACAGAACTGGCGCGCAGTCCTCACTATTTCGCCATTAGCACTCGTGGGACATGGATGAGAGCGACACACTCGGAATGGTCGGTCCAGTTCGCCCACCACAGGGGTATGAAAGGTATATTAACCGTAGACTTACGAGTCGGGGAGAGGAAAATCTAGGCAGCCGTCTGATGTGCCTGGTACATGAGAACGCAAAGGGATTGTAACGCAACGTTGAAAGCGTGTTTTCCACTTGGTCCATCTTTCAATGAATATACTGAAGGGTAGCTAACACCACACAGTTAATACACAGTGAGAGCTGCTGTGTCAGAGAGGAGGACTAGTGTTGTCGGAAACGGTGCAATGTTGTGCCGCTCCGGTCGCGACTCTGATCTTATTAGAGCCTCACACAATGAAATGAGTAGTGAAGAAGACGAGCAGTTGGCGCATCGACATCCATCAGTTCAAACGTGTACCTTAGTCCATCCAAACAATGTACAGCTTGCCAACGGTGTCCTCGATGTTTACTGTGTCCAGTTAATCGCAGTACGGGGTCACGTTGCTAATTGCCACATGGGTAGATAGCTTTCAGTCGCGGCGGTCTTTCTACATCCCCACTGCAGGTAGGTGATAGTTCAGACCGTTCTACACAGTTCCAGAGCAAACTGGCACTGAAGTTGTGTAAAAATTGTCCAGATAGCAACTACACTGCTATTATCCCTCAAATTCATTCGAGTATCCAGTGCTTGTGGCTTGCCGGTCCACTAGAAAGCCGACACCCTGAAGTTCCAGACCGGTTTCTAGGAGGACGAGTTTGGTTTGGCCTGGTCTCTGCTCTTAGTCGTTGCTGAGCCATATATCTCATCCAAAGGACGTACTACAAATGTGTTCTCCGACTTTAAAAGTTACCGCCGCTTCATCCTGCCCAACCTTGGTAGGACTTAGTTATATCTTAAACAACTGGATGCAGGTTCCGCGGCGTGTAGCGGCCTCCAGGACGCGTCCCGCAATGGACTCTCCACAACAACTGAGGTTTGTCAAAACTAATCTATCTCTGCATTCGTATGAGGTTTTATAGTTAACATCAGCCTTGTTGATGTACACATGCTAGATCCTACCATGTCCCAGAGAATTTGATCATAGTCCAAGTGGCGAAAAAGAATATGTTATGCATGTATTGTAGGACCAGTTATACCGTATAGTTCTCGTTACTCATATTTATTTAGGCTGACTAGCCTCTTTGGATTTATACCCCAAATTCACGGTCGTAAATCTGTGCGAACCGGTGAGTACTCCATTTTGATTTGCTACCATCACCAACGATAATAATTTCTTAGCCAGTTTTGTGTCGTACCACTTTATCCCCCTAAAACTGTTATACTTCTACCTTTTATCTCACTGACGCTCCTTACTTCAACCACTTATGTGGTTTGCCAATTTGTTAGTATTTCTATTGCCAACCTGCGGGACACGTTAAGTGTATGCTTTTTTACCCGTCATATACCATTGTTCCATTGTTCCATTGGGTCTTCTTCTCAAGGTCATTGATCCGTATGCACACAGTCCACACCTACTCGTTCTGGAGCCACGTTCACGATAAGCTGCGTCACTTCTACGCTGTCCGTCTGACAGGCGCAGTCATGGTCCGTTCGGTTGGTAGCACATGATTCACTTTCCGTTCGCTGGTCTCGCGTCACATACCTTCGGTCAGTAAACAAACCACCATTGTACCCTGTGTTATCAGCCGAACTTCGTTGGCTCGAGCGTACTCGTCGCCCGCTGCTGTAAGGGCCAGCCCGATTTCCACTTGGCTGTGATCACGCTGTTTTTCGCTCTTGTTGGGCTGGACCAACTTTTTATTGTACGCACTGTCCGATGACTCCTCGAGCACCCGAACGATGTGGCCTCCTCGCTTTCTGTTGTTCTTGTGGATAACCAACAGTGCTGGTCGTATTTACAAATTGTAAGCTAGTGTCTCGTTGCTGAGCTGAAACTGTACCAGTCGTTACGAGTCGCAAAACCTCTCCAAAGTTACTTAATGGTTCATCTGTCTGGGTTGTTTTGGCACTCCTTTAGAATACATGCGAGAATATGGCTACCAGATGCATCTGGTTACAGGTGTGTATGCATGGACTGTTTGATCGCTAATCAAACTTCGTTGCCCCATGGCGTCCAGGTTGTGTGCCTGAATCTGTACTATGGCTATTGCCAATGTGTAGCACAGTGTTTATTTTAGTGCATCTTCTAACAAACCTGTGAGCGTCAGGAATTCCCACCGTCAAACGGAGATACAGCACGTTTGCATCCCTTCACACAGACATTACACATCCAGAGAAGCATTAGATGACCGTTAGTTCCCACTGGGATTCTTTAACAGTGCGCGTTCCGTGTGCTTGGTGTGGGGTTAGAATCCACGATCTTTCACTTTGCGGTTAGCGGTTAAGACCATTAGACCGCGGGAGATTGGCGACAACCGCTGTGACCAAGCAACTGTCGTTGTTACTGTGACGTATCTCCTCTGAACTCGCACCATGTACCGATTTTCAGTCTCATGACATGATAACTTAGCCAATCGTAAGTATGGTCAGACTAACTCATGTTACTTGTATAGCAACTTTTATCGGATCCACATGTTCCTCGTTCAACCCAAACGAAAGTTATCGGTCATTTAGATAACTCCTTATCCAGCCTGGTCTTTTTCTCCTAACAGGTACGGCGTATGGCAATCAGGGTATGAAGCACAGCGATCCCGAGGAGCAACCAGAGAACGCTGCAGTATCCAGCATTGATCCCACTGTGAGTTTTCACCCTATGCCTGTTTTCTTCGCTTACCGGTTCTCCAACGTGGTGATAGCCATATGGATCCGTAGGCAAAAGCACACATGTGCTTCCGGTTGCCAAGTGATCTCACAACCTCAGCTGCTTCCCTTTCCTTCATTCCTCTGAACGTGCGCCAAATCGCACAGTTATGCTAACATTTTGCGCGTTTACGTGGGGTAGACTGTCTTCACTTCCATGGTGGCATTGCGTATTAATTAAAGGAAACTCACTGATTCGGAAAGACGTTGCTGACACTGAATCTGCATCTTCTTTCGCGAGTACTAGCTATGTAAACACTTCTGGCTGCAGTAGGAAGACCACCGTTTAGTTCGGATGTACCGCGAAAGGAACAGCGTAAGTTTGGCCGACAAAAACCTATATACGCAAGGTTGCTGCCATTGTTATTGCTATTATTATTATTATTATTATTATTATTATTGTGTTAGCAACCATTTCCATCATCATCATCATCTTAGTTTTTGTACGGTTGTCGTACTCAGCTTCTTTCCTGATTGCCATATCAGCAGACCGGTTTTGGGCGCCTTCCTTTATATGTAAAAGTTGCACTTGGGTTTCGTTTAGGTGAGTTATCTATGCTAATATTAGCCAGAGATTTTACTCAGTCTGCCGCGGCGCACATTGTGCATCTGGTTTCACCCAGGGTGATTTTACTCTGTCAACACCTGCACATATATCTACCACATGCTGGTTGCACCTATAACTGTGCCCTTCCCTTCTTTGTCTGTTACAAACAGAAATAATGGTCGATTAGACCTATCGTAAAAACCTCCGTAACTTGATCACTGAAGGGACTGGTCAACATATAAAGGTCCCTATAGAAAAATTGGCGCATCTTACTTCCTCGCTTTTAATAGTATAGTATAAATTTCATTCGCACGTGCATCCTGTTTCGAACATATTCGATGAGCCCTTCCACTGTGGCCAACGCAGTTAAATTATGTAGTGTACCGTAACAAATGGAAACGCAGTGTGGTTTTCTCAAAGTTAAATCATTTTCTGAAAAACTTCAATCTTTGCTGCTTTTATCACAAACATAATTAATTTCGAGTACGTCGCAGCAGTTCCAAGATAGATACTTGCCCACATGCCCGGAGAAGCACTAGACTGCACTTTCAACCTGTTCTACCTCAGTTTCCTTCAGGGATTACCTGTACAATTGTGTGATGTACCGTACCGTATGCCTACAGTATCGTCAAAGTTAGCTCCCTCTTCATGTTTACAAGCCTTAGCAAACTACCACAAATTCAGTTGCCTCTGCTCCAACGTTGGTCAACATGGAAAAACGTTTAAACATGGAATTTGCTTCCCTTTATCTTGACACACCAACTGTGACGCTCCAGCGTCTTTACTTGTGACTCGCCCTACTCAAATAGTGCACAGCACATGAATGCAAGGAAATCATTGCAAGTGAGCGAGCATTGATGCTTTCTGCTGAAGGAACAACAACAACAACAACAACAACAACAACAACGACGACGACGACAACAACAACAACAACATATCTCCTTTCACTTGTTACGGTTCAACGATTGACCCTGTCTTTCATTTGGACTTGTAAAACGCCCGCTTTTCTACCTGTGGTACGGGACTATGTCAAGGTTTTTTGCACATACCTATTAACTGTGGCGAAACTTAGTTCAATTTTAATCTAACCAATTTCGTTTTCCTCATAAATTTTACCACCACTAATCAGTTCTAATTCTGCTCCAGCTTTTATGCCCTTTGTCCATTTCAGGTGTGCCTCAGCCAACCCATTGTGAACAAAAGCTGCTCCAGTCTCCATACCGTATCCACAAAAGCCCCTCCCCTGCAGTCGCTTCTGACGAACCTGACCTCCGCGCCCGTCGGATCTGTCTCAAGCACAAGTTCGCGTCGACTACATGTGTCAAACATCCCGTTTCGGTACCGAGAAGCTGATCTCCGAACGTTGCTCGGGGTGAGTATGGTTGTGTCATCTCCAGCAGTCCAACTGTTTTCACTCACATTCCTTGCGGCACAGTTAACATTAGTATGTGGCCAGACAATTGCCGGATAGAGACAGGCAACCTACATCCTATCTGAACAAAACTAGCCTTTTGTGTCGTCTCTGATAAGCAACAGCTTACTAAACCTACAAACATGGAGCTACGCGTGTAATCCTTCCCACAGCATAAGCCGATACGACTTAACAACAACCAGCAATGAAGCCAAGATATTTGGGGATAAATGAACGAGAGATAAGCTAAAGAAGTAGCTTTGTGAACTTCTTCCAGGCATCTAGAGCGTAGTAAAGATTAATAAGCGTACTTACCATTAAGTTTCTTGACGAACCAACCTGAGGAAGATCATTAGTGGTTTATCTGACGAGAATGTTGAAGCCCAGACCAAGCACTTCACACTCCATGTGCACTCACACAGCTCAATTTTTGCCAATATAACTAATGGTCCTGACAGACCGTGTTGCCCGTGTAAGTCGGGGGATGAAACAGCCTCCGAGAGGCTTAGAACTACATTATAGTATATTATATTATTCAACACCTGACCAATATACAATTGGCAGTGCCACAACACATAGCTAACAACAACAACAACAACAACAACAACAACAACAACAACAACAACAACAACAACAACAACAACAACAACAACAACAACAACAACAACAACAACAACAACAACAACAACAACAACAACAAGGGGAAAACAGGTAGACAGTTGAAAGGTTTGAAAGGTTTACAAGGTTAATGTGTTGTGCGGGCACAGATCTTCCCGGTTGCCCAGGCCGAGGAAGAGGGTTGACTTAAGGGACCCCACCCCGAGACTTTGGTCATAAAGACCTAACCCGCAAGGCAGCGGGACGATTAACAGAGACCGTTGACATCCGGGTAGCTCATTCACCTTTTTGTGTTCAAGTAGCAGTCCACAGAGAAGCCGGTGGCCAACAAGGTTGTTCATCCGCCCTCCGTTAGGTACTCACTTCTGGTTACAGAAGTGAGTGGTCAGTGACCCTATAACCGGTCACATTGGCTTTGACACAGCGCCGTACGAACTTTTGTGGTATTTGATGGAGAATCAGGTGACCAGCCCAGAACTCCCCACGCTCTGAGACGCTGCCGCTGATTGTCCCCGACTACTTATTCATCTCGCCTGCAATGCAAACGAGACTTATTCGCAGGTACCTCCACAAGGAAGGCATTCCCCGATCCGCAACCTGGGGACGCGCCCGATAGCGTACAGCTCCGCCACGGGTGGAACTACACGTGACCGACAATATATCGCTCTGTGACTTCGTTTGCATGCCACCTACCCAAAGCGAGTCGGGAAAAAAAACTAAACCTTAGTGGACTTTATAGTGAGCTGAACTGTCCAGTATGAGTAGCAAATCTGATCGCAGATTAACGGCTAAAAGTGAATTAGGTTGCCCTATTAATCAGTGCATCCAAAGAGATCCATGACTTTAAAAATAAATAAATAAATATTTTGGTGGTTCGGTGTTGCTCCTCCCAACACTGACACCCCATAACCGGTTTCGTCCTCCTTTGGACTCAGCAGATGGAGATAGCCTGAGCTGGGGTGGACCTCGAGGCCTAGTGTTCAAAGGTTGACGCCTTGACCACTATGGCTCTAAGATCCGCGAGCAACGCTTGGCACAGCGGTAAAGAGCCATAGTGGGCAAGGCGTCAACCATTGAACACTAGGCCTCGAGGTCCACCTCAGCTCATGCTATCTCCATCTGCTGAGTCCAAAGGAGGCCGAAACCGGTTATGGGGTGTCAGGGTTGGGAGGAGCAACACCGAACCACCAGTTCGGATACGGTCATTGTGATCGTACTTACGGAGGTCTACTTCAAAGAGGACCGAGGTCTGAATAGAGATTGCGAGTCGCAATCCAACCACACAGCGGGCACACCAAATACCGCTTGAAATAAATATTTTACTCTCGACAACGCGAGACAGGCCTATACAGGCATAATCTTTAGGTGACATTGTCTGTTAGTTGCAATGAAAACTAAACCTTTTGTGACCACTGACAAGACTTCCGTTCACCGTAATTTGCTACTGTTATCATTTTACCGATGATGGCATATCCCACGCAGTGTCATCTGGACAATGAACTGCGAGGATTTAGAAAAGCACCACAATCTGAGCAGTTTCCTGACCAGCCATTATCATGGTTGTAAGTAGGAGGGGGTTTATTGGGTATTTTGTGAAGATTCGTCGCAGTTAGGCTTAGGCAGACAGCCACCACACCTCCAGGAAATCGCTAGACGGCCATTCCGTCATATTGGGACTCGTCAGTAGCATGTAGCCGCGGAATCCTACCGGATTCGAACCCACGACTTTACGCTTGCGAGTCAGCGACTTATGCCACTGAGCCATGAGCGACAGCAACGAACCGCCATGACCGATATTTAACTGCGCTATAACGCGGCTCATCTTCCACTGTCATGCATGCTATGAACCTGCAGAGGAGGAAACGGCCGCCTAGTGCTTTCCTGGATGTGTGGTGGCTGTCTGCCTTAGTCTAACTGCGACGAATCTTCACAAAGTTGTCATGGTTGTTTGAAGTGACATGGGTGCAACAAAAAGATCCGTGTATGATTCGTATTTTGCACGAACATTTGTCGTCAGAGCTGCTTTGGCATGTGACGTAATTCGCCAACCAACAACCGACCGCTTAACCCCAGTACACTGAACACTTGGGATGCCAGCTTGTGACTGAAACCAAAGATAGGAGCACAATGACCACGGTGATACTGAACAACCATCCGTTTTGCATAAGGAAGACAACTTAGGCACTCAGCCTTTCACATCATCTGTAGGGTGCATGCCATCTGCCCGACGAGGATCCGGAACCCCTAGACCCCAATGGGCCACAGGGGACATCAACGCCCAACATGACAAAGTTAGTGGCCATGGGATGGTGCGACCCGCCCATCACTAACTTGCACGTTAATGCCGTGCAGAAGAAACGGCAGCCCCCACATCGAGCAACGATTTCTAAAATTTGTCAGCACTCAAACTTTAATGAAAAAACATGTACGGCGTATTGATTACGGGGAGGGTCTCTAGTGGAAGTGGGATGGTGCGAATTGTATTCATCCTGCCTGGACTCAGTGGGGCGGATATCACACATCCGATTGCTAATGCAAACCGCTGGTGATTCCCGGAACGAAGCAATAGTCCCCCACTTCTTCTGTGCGTGTGCACGGTGTCCATCTGACTGTGTCCAAATGTGGTTAAGGCAGCCATATCTATGCATAGAAGTGGTATTAATTGCTGATTACCAATGAGTATGACCAGCGAAAGTAAATCCATATCCGATGTTGCATATACTGATGAGAATACGCTATTTGAAAAGGGATCAGCTGTGCGGGTATCAAAGGCCTGATTACGATAGCACCCGCTATTTAACAATGAGGCGGCAGATTCGGTGCGAGGGTCCTATGATCACTCAGAGCTGCCCGCTGGTTCCAGTTATTCACAGCGTTCGAGAGCACAAGATGGCCGGTTCAACTGAATGGCCACAACTTCGAAAGGTCCCCGCGAGCTAACCGGAGCCTCACAGAAAAAGCGATCAGGTGGTTCGGTTTGATCACCCAAGGCAATTCATTCCGCTGAGTTTCGTTCTATTGGTTCCATGGGTCGGGATACATCGCAGTTAGATTTCAATCCATGATGGTCAACTATCGTCCCCCATGGCTCAATGGCATAGGCTGCTGGCTATTGGTGCAAGCCATTAACGGGCATGGGTTAGATTCCCGGCAGGGGACCGAGGGAATGAGCACCACTGACGAACCTCACTAAGGCTTTCCCGGAATAGCAGTTGACCTAGCCGGAGTATAAGCTAATTACGATTAAATAAATAACTCTTCTCTACTCATAAATAATACTAGTTATTCGTTGAACTGGTTAGTTGAGAAAAACAGACGCGTCTCTTGCTCTTGTTTAAAACATTCCACATTACTTCCTCGGATGTCGCTAAAGAACCGGCTATCTGTTTATCTGCCCATTCCATCCACCTGAAGCGGGCTACTCTATCCGCACTCATAGTACGCAGTTATTCCCGAACACACCCGCCCGGAGAGTATTAGTATGCCCCATGTTAACGTTCGTCCAATGTTAGTCCCTTCGACCCTGGATTCGGTTCCCGCGCGACATGTTCTGGTTGACCAAGTGTTCCTCTCGGGTTTTTAAACGAGTAGGATTCAAAGCTGTAGGAAGAGATCCTCGTCAATATTTCACAAACTTATGCTTGTGTATGGTATATCGAATTCTCTCCCATAGACCGCACTTGCTGGTGTTGCTGCACTCGGTAGCCAAGATATTTGGATGTTGGGCAGCGTTGAATAATGTATTGATCAATACTTCCGATTGATAACCGAAAAGTCGCCTTCCAATCTGGCTTGTCGCATCATGGTTGAACGTGCACAAATGGTACTAGTAGGCTACTGCAGCTGAAAAGTATCTGCATTGACCACTCTGATACTCCAAGCATCGATGTATAACGCACGATCGTTTTAAATGTGTCCAATTACTACAGCTGACCACTGCTTTTATCTTCTCAGCGGAAGTGAAGGCGAATTAAAAGCTTCATGTTACTCAGAACATCCTGAGCCGAAATTCTGCAGGAATCAGAATGTCGCTGGTCACGAGTTGATCCAGACGTGCCATTCAATACGGAATTCAGTGAGGAACCACTCGACACGATAAGCACTTTAATGGGAGTTGCACTATTCATCAGCCAGTTCGGTACCGAAATACTCGCATAAAGGCCACGTAACTCTTGATGGCCCACCAAAAGCGAACAGATCCTGCATCAGTAACATTGCTGACACGCCACCTCGAATGATTGCCTTTCCATACACATTTTTTCTCCATCTCTCTTAACTTTTCAGCCTTTTGGAACTATCTTGGACGTTGAAATAATATTCAACGAGCGTGGCTCCAAAGTGAGTCTGATTATTTGGTCCTAAACAAATGCTCTCCTGTGCGTGTGCATGAAGCAGATGTTGTTTGTGACCCAGTAATTATCATGGAAGTTCAATTAGGCCGCTCTAGGATAAAGTGATAAATTGACTTTTCGTACTTGCGGCTAAAATGGTCTTTCTTAGATTTAACATGTTAAGACAACGCGCGTTTCCACAAAATAGCCAAAAACATGCCTTCGTTTACTCACCTTGACGCAATCACTCGCGTTCCTATGTTCTGCTCAACCCGCTGCCCTCGCTCTCCACTCTGCTCATATGCGAGAATTCAGTTGTTGTCAGCCTCTGCATATACTCGACGCCGTGTAGCCTTATTGGATCATAAAAGTAATTCACTGAAGGACCGCATTCGCTCCTGGCCCTCGGGTTTTGGTGTATCGGTGATGAACGTCCTCCGTGGCCGTTTGGTAAACAGTCCGACGAGAATGTGCCGTTCGTTTCGGGCGTGCGATTCCCAAAGACTTTATCTTTCGTTCCGACTAGGCAGGCATAACAAAATGCGATCAAGATGCGATTAGCTTGTCCCTCGGCACTGTGTGCTCCTCCTCACTGCGACGATAACCAGAACTACAATGTGCTCACTCTTGTCGATTGTATAGGGTGACCATTTGCGAACACCTCGATCTGGACAGCGAAGAAGTGCTTTCATCTCGCGTCTTAGCGCTCTCCGATGGAGTTATTGAGGATACTCGGAAGAAGTTTATGGGGGTTGCACTTCTCCGAACGACAGTCAAAGGCAGAAGTGACTTGGAATACTAATGTGCAAGCCCGACGCTCCCGTGCCTCCCGGTATAAAGCAGAAGACGGTTCAAGTAGGTAGCCATCCTCCTGTCCATACAGCACACGAATGCTAACATACAGCTAATGGCCATTGGTTTCCATGATCTCAATCGTCTAAGCAGAATAGGCGATATCAGCCTGTCGATCAAAGGTGCGGTGTACCTCGCGCCTAGAAGATCAGTGTCACTATGCTAGTCATAAACATGGCCACACAGTACTGAAAAGACTAAGACATCGGTCACATTGGATCACTGATGCTTTCAGTGTATTGCTCAAAGTGGTGGGGACACCGACTGTGCCTGTTAGGCTTGTAGCGCTCACAGTTGATAGGTCATTTCCGCCTTATGCTCGTTGACTGTCTTCCTTCGCAAGTGTTACAGGTCGTCGCTGATGATAATTGGAGGGAATCTTTAGGCGGCCGGTCAATGAAGTGGTACAAAGGAGCGAGGGGCTTGGTAAAGCTGGTAGGTGCTCTTTTCATAAGTAGGGGCCGCGAGACCTGCCAGCTCATGGTTAACGACTGCAGTCGATAGGAAGCAATCGCAGTTTCAGTGATATCCCTGCGTTCGACCCCTTTACACTTGGAGATCCATGTTACATCCCCGATTAACTTAACGCATTTTTTCGTACCCATTGCTCTCTACTTCATCCTCTTCACCATTTTAACTTTATGTTATCCGGGCGACGCGAGCCATATCCACGGGATCCACCGCATTCCAGTGCCAACAGCATAGTTATTTAACTAAACTGAACTGGAGACCGTCGGTCGGTTCCAAGGTAATTAGGCAACGCCTGACTGTTAGTTCATCGAAATCATTGAATTATCGATCGATAACACTCGAGTTGAGTTTTTCAAGAACTAATTCCATTTACTGACACTATGACTTCAGCTCCACGCTTGGTAGTAACTGGTACGACGTGGCTGTACGGATCATGGATTGTGCCGCTGAGTGCCGAAATCATTGCGAAACTGATACCCTGCGCACAGCCCTGACTGAAATCGTTCACACCTGTTGTACGCACCTAACGAGCGACATGGAAGCTAGCCAGCCGTTTCCAGAAACATACGCCGTTGATACATCGGACGGTCCAGTGGTTTTACTCCTCCGACATCTGCTCAGTTATGTTCTTCCCCATGTCGGTCGATCTGATGCTCCTTACCGTGTGCGTTGTTCGCTGTACCCAGGCAGATGCTGTGCCATGTTGGTCAGTCAGCGAAATGACAGTGGGGTATTATCTTTCTGAATAAGGATCATGTAAGTGATGGAATGCGTAACTTAACGTGCGTCAAAACGTAACTTCAACGGCTTCCTACACCTAACCTCCTGTCCCCCACTGTAGTACGTTCATTCGGTACTCTTATTGCAAAAACAAGCGCATGAAGCCAAGACGCAAACGGCGTTATTTATAGTGGCAAACATCAATCATACGCATCAGCTCTGACCATCAACTGTTCTACTCATCTCCGAACTCTCTTTTGTATGTTGCGTGGCACACGCTGTTTCTGTGTCTATTCGTAATGCACATGAATCTGCTGCTCCCAAGCTGTTGACCCGTTACCGTCTGGTTTTGCTGACTCATTTATGCTACTGACAATTGGCGCAGTAGTATCTGCGTTTAGTCCATCACGGTCCTTTTTGGAACAGAATGATGGACCACAGTGCTGCTCATTCGACAATACCACTAGCTATGATCAATCGGTGGTCAAACACCACTGGTCTATTAGAGTTCCTTCTACCATAAGCAGCGGTCTTGTAGATATTTCTACAAGAACCTTTGCGAACAGAGTTAGATTGTCTCAGATATCATTACTCATACGCATCAGCTCTGACCATCAACCGTTCCAGTCATGTTTGAACTTGCACTCCAAGGCTGTGTGGTGCTCAACGCCTCTGTATATATTCTTAGCGCACATACGTATGAGGCTTCCAAGCGTGCTTCCTTTGTTGGGGCGTTGATATAACCCACTCTTGGGCCGTTGTCTTCTGCTATTTTTGGCACTTGCATGCTACTGACACCTGACGCAGTGCAACAATATGTTATTACTTATGCTGACTTAATCGAACTTGGAATTGTAAATGTGTCGCTTCCCGCTTGCTCCTTTTCCTTTGGCTTTTGCGCCAGCTCGTGTCATGTAAACGAGTTAATCTTATTTCCGTGCAGACTCTGATGCGCTCCACCATGGGGCTCGCATTCACGATTCGCCGTTATATGCAAGCCTATCATACACTTTACACCCTCAGGGCTTCGGATTCGTGACATTCGCAAATGCGTCGGACGCGGACCGCGCGCGCGAAAAGCTCAACGGCCAGGTAGTCATGGGTAGGAAAATCGAGGTGGGTTTGTATGCGTTTATTGTACAATACTCTGGCGTTTTTTTCACAATCGCCCTTTCTCCCATCTAATATGGCATTCGAATGTCTGAAGAAACGAAACCCTTGTTCTCCATGTTTACGGTACTTTGTGATGTTTCCTTTTCTTGTCCATTGCAGGCTTGAGTCAGTTATCAATACAGCTACCGAGCAGGAAACACCGACTCCATTTGCTTTTTGCATTTCTCACCGCGTAATTGTTACGATGCGAGTTAGTTGAAGTAGAAGCTACTCAGAAGGGGTCAACGTGTCTCTTCCATTTCGTAACTTACCAATTGCTTAGAAAATTTCTACGGATTGCATCAACTCCAATGGGGTTCGCGTCTGGGATAAAGACATCCAACACACGAGAAGTTCTCGGTCTGGAATAACACACACACTGCTGGTGTGCGGGATGTGACGGGCATCTTTCTGCTTCCAAGAGCCTTTCGGTTCTATTTGTCTTTCACCAAGTTCGCGTCACACAATTAGTCGCAACCTCGGTGTAACTTGCTCACCGACGTCTACTTTTGCTAACTCATAACAGAAATCGGAGTTCTCCTTTTGTCTGTCCACCAACATAAGAGGCTATGTTAGTAAACTGCCGGGGCCTCGACGCCGCTAGACTTCTCATTCACGGAATCTCGTAATGATCGCGGCAATGTGACTGGGCTGTAGGATTGGGAACACCGAGATCGCATGTTGCTCGCCCTGGCCGATAAGACGGAAAGGTGGGGACAAACTTCAGGCGTATACCCGTAAGTAGGCTGAAAACTAAGGCCGGTGATTAATATCTCTTGAATGTAGTTCAGCGCTATTAAGAATAAGTTTGGGGTGTTTGGTGGACGCATCACTAAATCACTGGTCCCAGGCACATTTAATCCACCAAATGAAGCTAGGTTGCAGCATAAGGTTGAGGTTACCAACTGAAGCTAACCGAAGAGGATGGCCCTCTATACCTTTTCTGAGCCAATTGTATCCATAGCGCTTTTAAATTTATTTTTATGGAAATAATATTCCTTCATAAGTCTTTCAAGATGGTCCCTAACGCTAGCAAAATGCATCCAAAGAGAGCAAACGTTGTTAAAAGTGCGTACTGTTCGTCGAGTGATCAATACTAAATCAGCCGATACTATGGCACATGAGTACACAGAGTGGGATGATATTGGCTGACTTGGGATTGGTCACTTAATATACAGTTGCATTTAGGTGCGATCACACTCGTTGGATGCAATTTGCTAGCGTTAAAGACCATATTGAGAGATCTAAGGAGGAACATAATTGTCTTATGGAGGAATTCGAAAGCGTTATGGATGCAACGGACTGAGGAAAAGTATAGATTGCGATCATAACCACTTTCCCATAGGATATGCTAGTCCATAGAGCATCTTCCGTACATTATGGCAGAAAATACATGAATACTGCGTACCGTGAGATCGCTGTATCGATTATGGAGTAATCCACCGTGTGTTCTATTTGACCAAACTGCGAACCCCGCTCACACGTATAAGGCACATATTCACTTTGATAATTCTCCCATTCTATGTTACAATCATCCATCCGCTGACATGGATGTGGACCAGATCCATGTTTGCTACATCTGGCACTGCCAGTCGATTGTCAGTGAGCTTACCACTTTCAGTTATCTACCCCTTAGCGCTGTCTGAACATTGACGTAAGTCCAACTCGTGCCTGTTACATTTGACACTGCAGGTCGTATTGTCGTTGACCTTACACTGTTTGAACCTTAGTGCAAGTGTGGTTTATGGTTGTCACGTCGGAGACCGCAATCCAACGCACTCTCGATTACTTCAAATTGTCGGAGCATTGGAGTGCGTGGAGATCGTGGGTCAAACACCTGCATACAAACGCTTCAGACTGATGGCTGTTGTTATGGCTTTATTTCGCCTAAAAACAGCGTAATAAGGCACGGTAAGTTGTACGCATGTTAGTTTGAAGCCATATTTGTTAGCTATTGGAAACATATTGCAATTTGTTGTTAGGAAATTGCGCTGGAAACACACATTGTTGTGGTGTGTATCGGGTAAGTTTGTAACCTGATTCACCACCAGTACCGTTTTATGATGCTAGTCTTCCTTTATAATTGAAAACAGAGGAGACGCGTTGCTCAAGACCTTCCAACCGATTCTGTCTAGTACAAACATTTGCATCTGTTTTTATCTTAAGTGTCCTTTAAGAAGCGACAGAATATTGTATTCGGTTCACTGCAATTTGCAAGCCAATCTGCGGCACTTTGCAAGCTCCGGAAATTCTCGCTTAATGTGATTGATAGCTTGAACAAATGCCATAACTTTGAAGGATTTTTGTCAGAATTGGGAAGGGATTTCTTGTGATTTTGCTAGGGTTCATCGGAACCAGGCTTAATCGGAGAGCCACCACTCATTCCGGAAAGATCCTGGACTGTCTTTTCTTCCTGTCCGGCTTCGTCGGCAATGGGCATCCCACCAATCCTGCTGACTTCGAACTCATGACTGTCCTATCATGGGTCAATGGCTTAAGCGACTGTGTCATGAGTTACAGTAACGAACGAGCATGACTGCAAACGATACGGCTCATCCTGTAGTACCACGCGTGATGTGAACGTACAGAGGAGTGGGTTGGCCCGCATAACTACGGCTTCTCTTTGCTAGTGACACCAATTGAGGTGAAATGTAAACTAATGCGGTGGTTACTGGTTGATAGAGTGCACTGAGCTTTCTGTTATTGTTGAGAAGATGGACAATCCTGGTCTTCGCACTTTCCTTAGATAAATTGAACTGGAGCGTGAACCACGATATACAGCAACGCGTGCTTGGTCATGGCGACCTACCGTCGTCACCTATTTCTCAGGTGCTTAAGTCTTTGGTTGATAAAATAATGGTCCTGGGTTTAAATCCAGCAGCGGTGGACGCGAGTGGGCGTTACTAACGTGTCGCGATAGGAAGAAGCTGTTATTCATCGCTTTTCCTGATCTACAGTGTCTGGCTGATCGGGTTTGATCGTGACGAGCTCTCTCAAGACTGGAATTTTGTTCTCCCCAGTTGAAACATTAAGTTTATCAAGGTTCTCCACAGTTTCTTATATTCTGATCCAATTCGAAACCCGATTATTCCTCAGGCTGATTTAAAACTTTCTGACTTTTAGTCGTGATATCATTTTCTCGGATAGGAATAACTCGGCTGGTCCATTCCGGCCAGTGCAGAAAGAATCATACGCCTGCCTTATGATCTGGAAGTCGCGGGTTCGAACCTGCGTAGGGGACTGTGTTAGTGGTAAATTTACCACGCAATTCTCAAGATGGATGACGCAAACTAACCCTGGATTCCCACCAACTATTTGTTTATCCACCCTATGCCTCATGATTACTTGCCCACCCGATCTAAGTGTTATGTACTCCACAAGATGAATAACATGATCTAATTTTTAACTCCTAACATCTATTCGCACACCCAGTTTATGTGACCTGGTTACATGCCAACCGACACAACTATTATGTAGTTAGTAAGCCGCATGTCGGGATCTCAGTCTGGATGACCAAAGCAGACGCCTGCCCCAATTGATGAGCGCCAGCTTACCGATTATCCCCCATGTGAACTGATATCGAGGTTGCCATGACTTCACTTCACCTCTCACTGGAAACGGTTCCTTCTCACTGTGCAACCCGTCCACACCACCCTCCATACACCCCTCAGACTTGAAGCATCCTCCCGCCCCAGGTGTACGCACCTCCAGGTTCCTCCCAGCCCCATGTTTGACTTAGCCAAACCCAGTCTATCCTGTTTTCTTTCAAATGCTGCTGAGGAACCAATGCGTCAAGGGTTAACGAACCTAAGAAAAGAAAGGTCATAGTCCGGTCGTGGACTCGGTATCGTGTGACTCTTTATGTGCGTCGGTAAGTACCAGTTGCATTCGTTTTTGACATTGTGAAGGCCGATTGTTTCGGAACTGACCGGGCATTTTCGAGGTATGTACCTATAGTATTTTACATACTATTTGAATACTATCGTAGTAAACGTCTTGGCTTCCTTTCTTGGTTGGACCTGGGAGTTTCTACCTGTCACTCGAGCCCCCCAAGCAGATTTGACGCTTACAGACTGGGCGATCCTCCCAGTATCCTTAGTCCTCACGCAATCGCGAGTGGATGCATGGCAATGAAGCGACAGTACTGCGTACCGGCGTACTGCTGATGCCACAACTAATCCATTAATCAGCAAACTCGTAGCTGTCAACCAACCACCGTTATCGGTAGGCCTACTCGTTTAGATGCTTGTAGCACCGGCAATCAGCCGCGCAGACGAATTGGGATGAAACCCGAGATGAATAAGTCACTGCCCAGTCACGCTTCGAGGCACAGTTTCAATCTGTAGAGACCCAAATGATGAACAGAACTTGCCGTTCTAGAGCAGGTAGTTTTGGCGTCTGGTTTGGGACCCATAAGTTGTGGGAGTGAGCCCGCACAGGCACTCCTGGTACCTCTAGTCCACAAGTGATTGCCGGTGATAGTAAAACGCCAGTGAGATTACACTCACTAAGACCCTGAAAGTCCACTACACCTATTCCCGATTGATTGCATCAATAGCGCAATTGAATTGCTCCCTAACGTTTTGATTTGCATCTTTAAGCCGATTGAACATGCTCATCAGTGCGATTAAATTGCATCCGGTTTCATTTCTACGCACCAAGCGCGCACAGCGACGTTGGTATTAAGCGAGCCCAAAGCAGCCGCCAATGACGGTAAACTTAATAACCCTTGCATGGATGTATGAGTTGGTGGTGTGTGGTGTTGACGCGTGGGCGGCCTAGCATGCATTCAGCAACGGTGCCTAATCTGAAGCTAGTTCTACGCAGCTTGGGGGCACGAGGTTGTCCAAACACGTGATGCGACTGGGTATAAGTGGACTACCGTGTACGTAAAGGCATGCCTCACGAGCGGCACAAGTTGGGGATGGGGGCTGCGAACAAGGTAATGCGACACCGCATTAGCG